GTCCCTTCTGACTCACTGATTCTATGATTCTATGATTCTATAAATAAGCTCACTCCAACAGACTCAATTAATCGAGTCTGCTCTGACACACTAATTACAGAACATAGAAGCAGCCTCCCAGCATATCTACAGACACCTCTAGTGGTTAAAAAACTGTAACGAAGTCAGGAGATCCTTCCAGTGTGACCCTGACCAACCTTATCTACACTGTATATTCTTAACTTTCTAAAGGTGGAATAAAACTGTAGTAATTCAAAGGACAGTGATGTAGCTTAGCTCATTATTTTTAAAACTTTGAAATTATAAACAGAAAGTCAATAAAAAATGGAATGCATTAGAAAAGGCATCAAAATATTTTTTTTTTTAGAAAAGAGACAGATTAGCTCTCAAAGGTGAGATTAAAGTTTTAAATTTTAATTTTTTTCAGTGATAATTAAGCCTTCACAGAAAGTAAAATAAGGTTGATGGATCATTTTTATTACATGTATTTTACGTAACAATACAGTATTTTTCACAAATTAAAAATTAATACCTCAGGAAAAGGCACACATTCATGTAGTCAAATTCTTCTATAATCTGAATTTGTAATTTATTGCATTTGTCTCTTACCTAGATAACTGATCCACCATTACTTGCTCTACTACAGTTTGCTTTCTTCTTTCTGCAGCTGTATCATCCTGCAATAAAAAGTCTATTATGAGCAAATGAAATATGACATACTTAAGAAACTGTTATTCCTTAAGACTATTTTCAGAAGATGCAGTTAAACAATGCAATTGCTAATTTGGAATTTTAAGGCATGTCATTGGATTTTCTTATTGAGTATCTTTTTAACAGAGAAAATTATACTGCAAATGATGTTCAGATAAATGAGAACCAAATGATATATTCTGGTCTATTTAAATTGTTTACATACACACCATGTCTATGTACATTTAATGTCTGTAAATATAAAAACTAATATAAACACTGATGGGTAGTGCTCGTTATAGTCGTATTATTTTCAGAAGGTGCATTCTTTAAGTAGAGCAGCGCATGAAAAACTTCTCACTCCATCCAATGTACCATGGAATTTATGGTAGATATAAATCCTGATTTGGGCAATAAAGTTTTAAGTCCAGCAATCTTGTTTTGTCTTTGGAAAGATTCTGTTATGATTTACGGTCCACTTACAATTATTTATTTGGAAGTCAGTCAGTCTCTATGTCATTATGTTTTCCTCCTCTGATATATGAGAAGGTTCATCTAAGTTTTTCCAAGATACGAGAGGTTACTGGGTTTTTGGTTGTAGTGGTGTTGGAGAGGTTACCAGAATTTTTTTTCTCTGGCATTAATTAATAATACCGAACACTAACAGGGTCCCACACCAATGGTGACCGTGATGCCCCTGGAGCTCCTTCAGCCTTTGCCAACCTGGCTCTCTTTGGGTACCCTCCCCTTCTCCTTTCTGGCCATGCCTTGATGAAATGATACTTTCAGAAAAGGAATGCTGCCCCAGGGCTTTCCAAGTCAGATCTCCTCACGAGTACAGGTGACCCTACTCATTGCTTTAAGGGCTAATTACATGGGCTGCTTGAATAGCTCCATCCTCCCCAATAACCATACCCATACAGATGTTATCAATTACTCAGTAGCTCAGACCTGCTTTCTCTGCCCCTGGACTCCAACCACTATCTTTGTCCACCCACACCCAGGCACTTTGCCCATTCTGGCTACTCCCGGGTGCAGCTCTGGGTTTCTGACCCTATTTCCGCCTCTTGCAGAAACCAGACACCTGGCCTACTCTACCACCTCTTTCAAGCTGCAGGTCCCCAACCCTGCTTCTCTGGGATGTGGGTCCCTGACTCCATTGGCCTCCAGCGGTTGCCCTCCCAGGCTTTGGTCTGTCTCCTTATACCCTGCGTCCAACTCCTAGGCCAACTGAGACCCATGGGCTCTCCTACCCCACTAGTCTCCATCTATGGCCCTTTCCTGGCCTTCGGCCCTTCCTGGGCCCTAACCCTGCTCCTAGGCCAGTGAGACTTATGGACTAAAACTCAGGTCTCCTGAGACCCAATCCAATATTCAACCTCTGCTCCCTCCCTTCATTTTATAAACCAGATTTCTGAACTTCTCTATTGCGTCTCAGTTTGCCCTTATTTCCAGGTTATTTTTATTTAGTTTGTTCTCATGGGAAGACAAAAGTTATTGATTCTGAAGGAGTTATGTACGTTCCTAACTCTATATACACCTTCCACTGAATTTTAAAACATTTTGAAACTGAGGGATTTGGACATTTATGTGATCAGTTATCCATCTTAATCACTACACAGATTTATATGTGCAACCCAAATTTTAAACAGACTAAGCCTCACAGTGTTTGCAGAGGATGAAACTAGTTGCCAAACACCAGATGAATAAAAAGGGTAATCACTACACTAACAGAATTATTAAAATACAATTCATAAAGATTTGTATTTTGGTAAATATTAATTTCTACTAGCTAAAACAATCACCTCTCCCCCAACCCAGATTGTTCAACCTGAGCAACCTATTTTCCTTTCCAGATTTATGACTTGCGTATAGTTGAAGTCTGTTAATTTTGTTTTTAAAATCTTTACACCCAGGTATCACAATTATTGGCACATCTGAAAAGATAAATCCTTGGCCATTATCTGTCCCAACAGAAAAAGTAAAAAGTTATCATATATTTGGGGAAAAATTGATAGCCTGTATACTACCAGGTATGGTTTATGGTCCATCATTTCCCAAAGGCCAACAGATTTCACCACTGTAAGAACTAAACAGCAGACGTTGACAATGGAGAATCCAATTTTAAGAGTGAAACTTTATTGGGTTTGAATTTCAATTCAATGTCAGATAACGACTTTCTCCTTTGGTGCTTCCTTCATTCAGTTATTAAGGATGTCTACAATAGGGCTTTAACCAAATATTGGACTTGGATAATCATTCATCAAAATGAAGAAATCTAGCATAAAAAAACCCAGTCCTCCTAGTTAGCTGGAATATTGTGATCTTCTGCAAACAAACAAGCAAAAAACAAACAAAAACCTAATAATTATACTTCATGTCTAAAGCAACTCCCACAATCTTCCCCAAGCAACATAGGAATTCTCATTTCATGGTCATCCTTCTAGATCACTGACATTTTGCAACTAACTTCATACATTATATTGGCTTTTCTCTGAATTATTTTTGGTAATACAAAAGAACAAATGGAAAGTACATGAAAAAAACACTCTTTAAAGTATTTGTTACATCAGAGATCACTTGATGAAGTGAGTTCTTGCTCACAAACATTTATGAATCTCCGATTCCTTAGCGTAAAAGGTGCATCTCTGCCCTGCCTTTTGTTTTTAATAGTTACATTAAAATGAGATGTTAACGTGTATGTATAAAACAATCTTTAAGGCTTCTTAGAAATAAACAAATACAACTGACAGAGAGGGGGGCGTCTGCTGTTTTAGGAAAATAAAGCATTTAAGCATGAAAACTGTAAAATTACACATTCTACCAAACCATTCAAAACTGAAGTTCTACATTAAAAGTGCTTTGAAAGCCTTAACTTGTTGGTTAGTGATAGATGTATAGCAAAGGATACCAATACAAGCTGTTCTAATGCAACTGTAACAGTTGCATAATTCTGTAACAATACAATTGTAGCAAATCTGTAATCGCATTTCAACCAGGGTCAAAGCAAACTAAATTGCCCTCCCTTCCATCACTGCAGTATCATGCAGACATAACTGTTACAAGCAGTGGCTCTTCCTCCCCTTTTAAAGAGGTTACAAATGGAGTTTGGCCACAACCTCTGTTGCTCCTATGTATTAGACAGACACTTAAGTTCAGCAAAACCCTCTGACAGAAACTATGTGCTGCAATAACTACTCACAAACAAATGAATCCAATATGTCATAGCAGATAAAACTCAAGCCATTTTCTTTTGGTCTACTGCATAAGACAAATCCTGTCAGCTGCTCAACACTGCTGAAAAAAATAATATACAATTAAAGCACTAGTACTACACCTTTGCTCTGCAACTGTACAGAGCCTCTCCTATTCTGCAGAGAAATCAAGCAGCTTTGATAAGGAAAAGGTAGAAACCAAACATGACCAGTGCATAACTGCTAACTGCAGTCCAGTGAATTATGTGATGTCTGTTACAGACACTATTTAAGTCAGTGGTTCTCACCCTTTTTATTCAAGGCACCCTATACAGAAAATGCCAGCTCTTAGCTTTCACTTGTTTATCAACTATGTAAAAATAATCAAGCATTTCTATTGCAAAGAACTCAGAAAATAAACACAGTGTCTAAGCCAAAATCAGAAAGTGCTGATGACACAGAGTTAAAAGGAACGAGTGCGAACATGCAGGTGGAAAGCCCCTAAGACAAGTGCGCATGTTCAAACACGCGCCACACACATAGCCAGTGTGTGATGGAGTAAGGTATTCAAATTGGCAGAATACGCATGCCCAGTCATGCACTAAGCAGATAGCCATTACATAATCAGACTAGAACATTCCACAAAAGGCATCGTATAATTGGCTACATGAAAAGTATTTAAGTCAACACAGTTTCCGCCCTAGGCAGAGACCAGCTCAGAGATACCTTGGGCTACCTCACAAGCCGGCCACTTGTGAAGGTCTCTCTGCCACCGTTGTTTCCCAGCGTACCCCGCCCCTGCATCCTCGAGACCAGTCGACTCGCTTTTGTCAGCTGTCGTTTTCTGTCGTTTTCAAATTAAATTTCGATCGTACTAAGCAACTGAAAGTTTACAACTGCTGTACCTGTGAAACCTACGCTCTCTACAAGCGTAAGTAATAAAACAGCTTTGCAACCATTACGCGTTAGTGCCGTCTGCCCCGTTAGCCCCCGCCTGTTCGTCTGAGCTCGTCATCCAGCACCGGAGCTCTGCACGCACCAGATCAGAAATGGTTTTGACACTATAGATTTGTATTTCAAAACTCAGGGTTTATATCTCATGAATCAAGTACAGGTGCTTGTGCATCTAACAGTGATAATATTGTGCAGCACCCAATATAACACCCTTAGAAGGATCTCATGGCACTCCAGCTGAGAGTCATTCTTTCAGGTTATCTAATTACTCCTGCCACCAACCAGGAGTTGTGACCTACATATACTTAAGAGATGCCCGGCGGGGGGGAGGAAGCAACCACAAGTGGCAATCAGTAAAAGAAATATTTCTACCTTTCAGACAGCTGCTAAATGCCTTATACAGGTACTCCTCACTTCGTTCCGGTTAACATTTCGATATTACATCGCTGATCCTTTAGAGAACATACTCGTTTAAAGTCACACAATGTTTGGTTACACTGTTTGACTGCCACCTGCTAGAAGGTAACTGCTGTGACATAATCGGGTTCACTTAACATCGTTTAGCTTAAAGTTGCATTTTTCAAGAACATAACTATGACATTAAGCAAGGAGTAGCTATATGTTGGTTGTAGGTTCCAGTCACCCAACCAGCCTACAGTGGCTGCTCTATTCAACTTTCATTACTTCATCTGATTACAAGGTACAAGGCATAAAACTCAGCAACTCTAAGGTTGCCTCAGAACTGTTCTGTCATAATCTTTACCCATGCAGTACAAACCCTTTAATATTAGAAGGGGTTTTTTTATTTTATTTTAAAAGGTATAAGAAGAAAGTTTCTA